GAGTAGAGGAAGACGATGGTCTGGATGGTCTGGATGGTTTCACCCCACAGGGATGTCCCAGAGATGTCCCCAAGCCCCATGAGGATGTCCCCAAACCCCTCAGAGATGTCCCCAGGCCCCACCTCCTTGTAGAGGGAGTAGAGGAAGACGATGGTCTGGATGGTCTTGCCCAGCCCCATCTCGTCGGCCAGGATGGTGTCGGTGCTCTGCGCCCACGAGAAGCGCAGCCAGTTCAGCCCCTCCAGCTGGTACAGGTGCAGCGTGCCCCCCGTGGCCGTGATGAAGCGCGGCTGCGTCTCGTACTTCACCGTCGGCTAATAAAATAATTATTAATAATTAATAGTTAATTAATAATTAATAATTAATAGCGTATTTGTTAATTAATGGACTCTAATAATAAATTAATGATGGTCTAATAGCCCCCCGTGGCCATGATGAAGCGCGGCTGCGTCTTGTACTTCACCGTCGGCTAATAAATTAATTATTAATAATTAATAGTTAATGATTAATTAAAAATTAATAACATATTTTTAAATTAATAGGCTTTAATAGCCATTAATAATGGTCTAATAGCCCCCCGTGGCCGTGATGAAGCGCGGCTGCGTCTCGTACTTCACCGTCGGCTAATAAATTAATTATTAATAATTAATAATTAATTAATAATTAGTAATTAATAGCATATTTGTTAATTAATAGACTCTAATAGTCATTAATGATGGTCTAATAGCCCCCCGTGGCCGTGATGAAGCGCGGCTGCGTCTCGTACTTCACCGTCGGCTAATAAATTAATTATTAATAATTAATAATTAATAATTAATTAATAATTAATAGCGTATTTGTTAATTAATGGACTCTAATAATAATTAATGATGGTCTAATAGCCCCCCGTGGCCGTGATGAAGCGCGGCTGCGTCTCGTACTTCACCGTCGGCTAATAAATTAATTATTAATAATTAATAATTAATTAATAATTAGTAATTAGTAACATATTCTTAAATTAATAGGCTTTAATAGCCATTAATGATGGTCTAATAGCCCCCCGTGGCCGTGATGAAGCGCGGCTGCGTCTCGTACTTCACCGTCGGCTAAGAAATTAATTACTAATAATTAATAATTAGTAATTAATTAAAATTAATAACATATTTGTTAATTAATAGCTGTTATTAGGAGCTAATAATGGTCTAATAGCCCCCGGTGGCCGTGCTGAACCTCGGCTGGGTCTCGTACTTCACCGTCGGCTAATAAATTAATTACTAATAATTAATAATAAATAATTAATTAAAAATTAATAACATATTTGTTAATTAATAACTGTTATTAGGAGCTAATAATGGTCTAATAGCCCCCCGTGGCCGTGCTGAACCTCGGCTGGGTCTCGTACTTCACCGTGGGCCGCGGAACTGATGATTAATAATTAGCAATTAGCAATTAGCAGCCAATAATTAGCAATTAATAACTAATAATTAGTAATTAACAGCTAATGATCAGCTCACGTCGTTGGTGGGGGAGTCCGGGGGCCCCTCCCCCGGCGTCTCCTTCTTCTTCTTCTTGTAACGACGCGGCTGCGCCGGGTCCTCGCCCATGAACACCTCCCTGGGGACAGCGGGGACATCAGTGGGGACATCAGGGGACATCAGTGGGGACATCATCGGGGACATCATTGGGGACATTGGGGACATTGGGGACATCATCGGGGACATTGGGGACAGCATTGGGGACATTGGGGACATTGGGGACATCAGGGGACATCAGCGGGGACAGCATTAGGGACATCGGGGACAGCATTGGGGACATTGGGGACATCAGCGGGGACATTGGGGACAGCATTGGGGACATTGGGGACGTGGCCTCTGTGCCCCCAAAATGTCCCCAAACCCCCCAATGTCCCCAATGTCCCCAATGTCCCCAATGCCCGCCCAATGTTCCCAATGTCCCCAGTGTCCCCAATCCCCCCAATGTCCCCAATGTCCCAAATGTCCCCAATGCCCCCCCAATGTCCCCAATGCCCCCCAATGTTCCC